AAAGAAAGAAAGAAAGAAAGAAAGAAAGAAAGAAAGAAAGAAAGAAATCTGGCACAATGGCACGCATCTGTGATTCCCAGCACTGTGAAGACATAGACAGGAGTGCGGCCTAACAAGCCAGGGTGCTGAATCAGCACTCCTTAAGCCGGGCGGGGGGGGGGGGGGGGGGAAAAACCCCCAAAAAAAAAAAAAAAACAAAAAAAAAAAAAAAACAAGATGGACCACCCCTGAGAAACACCTGAGTAGGCTGTTGACTTCTGGCCTTCATGCCCACGTGTGCACGCAGCTGCGTGCATACTCACAGAGATGTACGCCCATGCACGCATGCATGAGCACACACCCACATAAACAAGACAGCATGGTGGGGAAAGGCTTGAGTGTTCAAAGAAGGAGAGAAATTCAGTGGTGTAATGGGACAAGGAGAGAAGACAGGCAGGCTGAGGTAGAAGGCTGTGTGCTTTAAGGATCCTGATCTTGAGTGTGGCTTCCTTGCAGCTTACTCTGGGTGGAGCGGGTTTGGGAGCGAGGGGTGGGCATGGAATGTTTGCATTTCCCAGGATCTCTCCGGCTACAGGGTGGAAATGAAATCCAAGGGAGGTACAAAGGAGAGTAGGTGCCTTGTCAAGGGAAGTGTTGGGACCAGTGCAGCCCTCTAAATAGCATGGAGGCCTGGACTAAGAAACAGGGATGGGCAGACAATGGTGGATTCGAAACAGAATCTGGGAGCAAAATGGACAGGATTTGCTTGGTGACAGGCTGCATGCAGGTTTGGAGAGGGGCGATATTGAAGAAGGTGATGGGGAAACATGACACCCCAGGTTTCACATGTAAAGGGTCTGAAGAAGCCTGGAGAGGAGGCATCCTCTCCTTGGGCAATATTAACCTTCTTTCCATTCCCTCTGCTCCCCAAATCTACAACCTCTTTTTTACTCACGTCATGGAGTAGGGCTGGAACACATTGTGAGCAAGTGTAGTGTGTCCTATTGATGATGAAGTTTCCTGCCTTAATACACAAGACATGGAATTGCCATCACCCATTGATTCATCCAACAAGCATGTGCTGAACATTGGGCCTTGAGCTGGACATGAAGATCAACTAAATCTAATCCCAGGTCTCAAAGAAATAGCAGCCCAACAGAGCTGGCAACATCCTGCGCCACTTAAGGATGCTCTTGACTTCAAGTAACAGGAAACCTCAGCTTTAAATGGCTAAACCACAGGGACACTTAACTAAATGGTAGCTCACAGCAGTGGTGAGCTTAGAGAATGAGAGATCGAGTGGCCCAGGAACTCGGACTGCAGGAGCTTCCTGATGCTTCACTCTGCCCTCTATAGTTTGTCCTCATCCTGAGCCTGCATCCTTTCACAATTGTGGGATGCTCCTCATTGCAGTTCTGTCCATGTGCTTTTCCAGTTAGGTGTAGCAAGAGAAAGCATTTCTGGGCTCTGGTTGATGAATCTACTGGAAAGACCAGACTAGGCTTCCCATCACTCAAAAGGAGTCAGCTCTGCCAACAGATTGATCTTAGACTTTTGGACTACAGGGCTAGGAGACTACGTAGTTCTGGTTTTCAAGCCCATGGTACTTGTAATAGCAGCTTCAGCAAAACCACTCTGTCTCCATGGATTCACCACTCTCTCCTTTCAACCAGTCTAAAACCACCATCTATTTATCAGGAATGCCACAGTGCTGACCATTGGGGCCTCACCTAATGGCTCTGAGCATCCTCTCTGAAGAAATATTGTTGTCACTGGCTAGACATCAATAAACATTAACTGCTTTGTCATATGAAGTCTCTGTATACAATACTAGTCTCCTTCCTATTTGGGGACAGAACTCACCTTCCTCATAAAAGCTCTAGAAACTAGAAGACCCACACATAGCCTGTGTTCCCTACACCATGCCGCTCAGTTTCCCCGGAAGCCTTTCAAAGTGCTGCCAGGGATAGTTTGTCTTCCTGATGACGGTCTGTGGTCACCAGAGCCAGGTGATGAGACTGCTTCCAATTTATCACACAGACATTCATTGAATTTGAGACTCATTGAGCTTGAGACAGAAGGGTGGCTGTGTGCATGCTTGTGTCCTAAATTTGGGCTTCTACTTTGTGTTATGGTCATGGAAAATTACAATAATAATAATAATAATAACAAACCATGAAACAGGCACCCATTCATCATACTGGACACCTGACACCATCACCTCCATCCACAACCCTGTGACATGGGTGGCATTGTTGGTTCTCTTTCAGGGAAGGTGAGGAATTGAAGACAGAGTCATAAAGGGCTTGCCCAAGCTCACAGCACTGGAGTGTGCTGTTGTCAGGATTGAAGCTCAGGCAAGAGCCCTTACCATGAAAGGATTGTGAGCTGAAGTGACTCTGTGAGCATGTTCATTCACACATGCCATTATGCTCAGAGCCTTTCCCTGTCAGCTGGCCCTTCCCCCAAGAAAGCAGCAGGTTGTTCAAAAGCCACTGAGAACGCTGGGGCTACCGGCTTTATGGCGCAGAATGCTACAATCACCTGTCTTTGATAGTGACCTGAGTTTTAAAAGGAGTGGCCGTGGAGTTGAGCTGCTGTGCTACAGGGCTTATTTGTTACAACAGATAGGTTTCCAATGGACAAAGCACGTGGCATCACTACTCACAGAGTTGTGAGGCTTCAAGAGGGCAAGATTCAGGCCACAGCATGAGGGTAAGCAGGAATGGACATATAGACTTCTGCCTAATCTTTTCTTCTAATGCTTTGGGGAAAACTGTCAGCTTCCATTTGAAGAAAACATTCTGCAACCCAAGATGGTCTTGAGGCCACTGTGGTCGTGAGACCATGG